TGAGGTCCCTCATGGATCAGTACAAAGACCTCTTCTTTTCTTGGTTTATATAAACGATCTTCCACAATGGGCATCAAACGTTTTATTATCTGCTGGCGATGTGAAACTTTGAAGAGAATTACGCGACCGAGAAGGTAATCTGGCACTTCAGGAGGATCTAACTCGAATCCAACGTTGGGCAGACAACAACGGACTTACCTTTAACACTTCAAAGCGTAAAGTAGTCCATCTAAGACATAATGCATATTACATTTACGACCTAAGAAACTCCTCTCTAGAAGTATCTCGAGTCGAAAAAGATTTAGGAGTCCTGGTACCCTACGATTTGAAGTCTTACGCTAACTGTGACAAAAGTGCTTTTCAAACAAACTTTGCGCTGGTAACATTGAAGGGCATTTTTGGCCAGTTTGACAGATGAACTTTACATATAATCTTCAAAAGTTTTGTTCGGCCTCATTTAGAATACGGAAACATAATATTTCCTCCATCACTCCAAAAGGATAGTGACACTCCTGAGCGTATCCAACGATGAGCCACGAAATCAGTTCGGGGACTCAAAATCAAACCTTCTGAAGAGCACCTCCAATTGCTGAACATATACCCATTAGAGTATAGGCATTTTAGAGGTGACCTTCTAATGGCTTACAGTATCCTTAACACTTCTGGACATCCCCTTAAACATCTACATAAGTTTAGCTCCAAGACAAACCTAAGGAGCAGCATGCAGAAACTAGAGACACAACACAGCAGAAAGGATGGTAGACACAACTTCTACTCCTTAGGAGTAGTCAAATGCTGGAATTCGCTGATGGATGAGTCAGTTCAAGAGATTTCCCAGGAGTCCTTTAAGAGGAAACTTGACCTATTTTTAAAGACTAAGGATAATATTTTACTATGATTTGTCATTTTTTCGTCTTTTACCGTTAATATACCTAGGTCCTTGCCTTGAAGCATTGGTGACCCATTGTAAGTATATACAGAAGACCTTCAAGCGAAATCCTCTTCTCTTCTGTCCAAAAGCATTTGAACCTCATAATGTCTCCTATGCTGAATCAGTGTTCGGACACATGATAGCTCTCAACGACAGGTTCCAAGCCTCACAAGATCTACTCGAAGAAGAGGAAACTACTGTGAAGAAAAATTCGAAAGGGGTCAAAATGCATTTACTTCAACGTGTCAGGAGGTTCTGGACCAAAAGAAGCATCATCATAAGGAATGGATCTCTATCGAAGCCCCGGACAAGATTAAGAAAGGAAGAACAAGAAGAGAGCAATTACCAACAGCCGAACACGAGCAGAGAAAGTCAAAGCACAAGCTGAGTACGCAGAAGCAAACAAGCAAGTGAACAGGAGCACTAGAGCCGATAAACAGAACTACGACAGCGAATAGAGCCGCAAGAGAAGGAGATATGAAACAACTACGGAACACAATTGGGAAACTGACAGGGAAATATAGTAGACCAGAGAGGCTGGTCAAGGACAAATAATTCAAGTCAACAACTAAGATTCAAGAACAGAGAAACAAATGGGTATAAAACTTTGAGGGAGTTTTGAATAGGCCAGCTTCACTGAATCCACCGAGCATCGAAGCAGCACATACAAACCTTCCTATATATGTTACTTAACTAACGATCGAGAAAATAAGGATGGCCGACCATCAGACAATCAAAAGTGAGAAAGCAACAGCACCCAACAAGAGTCAAATAAAATTTTGAACTGCACGAAGTCACACAGATTGAGCAAGCATTAATGTATGTTAAGAAAGTAATAAATAAATTGCTTAGCTATATGGATTATATTTCGTTTTACCCGTCATTAAATGTTGTCATGACCTTGTCGTAACGCTCGTAAATTTGAAGTCACGTGTCTCGTTGTTGTCTGCAGATTTCGCTGCTAAATGTAAGTGGATGCTATCACTTCACTGAATTATCAATTTGCTACCTCCTTTATGTGCCCTATCAGATTTTCATATACACTGAACTTCATATCACAGCTATGGCTTTTCATTTGACAGATTCTTAATCGACATTATTCACGATGTCATTAATACGAAACAATCATTTGGTAGTGATCGAACACTAAGTTCACCCAAATTTTGTGGATACTTGCCCTAGTTATCGTAGGGTTTTTGTGGAGAGACTAAGATTTGTTGACGATCTTTGGGCGACGCTAGACGAACCTTGGAAGTGTCGACCTAATGACCAGAACTAAATGAAGGTTACAAACCTGTGTAAGGAATTAGAATTATGGTTAACAGTTGATGATTAAGGTTATAAACTAGACTTAGGGTTTTCATCGCGAACTGAAATCAGCTATAGTGCGAAAACGATTCAAATGAATGAGTGATTTTCGCGCCAAAATCCGAGACCTGTTATCTTATACGTGATTCGTTCGGCCATAAATTATAGTCTCGCCGTATTTGTGGGTTTCCTCCTCCACTTATCCAATGGATATTCTTGGTACAAACCAGTAAAACTTTTAAAATCACTTGTCACATTTCCTCAAAGGTTCGATGGGACGTCTCGGAAATTCTCCAAATGTCCCGAGGGTAAGACTAATAAATAGGCAATCTTTCAGTAGCGCTTAAGTGACCTTGGAACGCCCACCTACTTACCAGGGTTAAATGAAGCTCATATATTAGTGTGAGGAATTAGCATTAGGATTCACAGTTGGATGTTACGATTAGGAATTAGATTTAATATTTTCATCACGAACTGACATGAGCTTTAATGCCAAAATGGGATTTAACTAGATGAGTAAACTAATTTCGCGCTCGAATTTAAGACCTGCTCTCTGAGTGTTATTAGTTCATTCATGAATTATTGTCTCGCCATTGGGAGATGAGGTTAGTTGCAAATGAGGAACTACGTTAAGCAAAACTACGCTATTACGGTCATCTCACTTCCATAAAAAAGTGGTTAAACTGACCGTTTTTGTATTAGTGGTCTGCGACCCACACGCTTTAGCTATGCACACATTAGTTAACCTATATCTCAAAATTTCTGGGCTACGCTTTATGTTTTAAAATGTTCTAAAAACTAGAGAACATAATGCCACTGCTTTACACGCGTCCATCAATAATATTTAAGGTAGAAACTAGAAAGACAGGATGAAGTTGTGTTTGGTGGTAGATAGAAGTAAACGAACGCGAGGCTTCTACATGTCTTCCGTGCAGCAATCTTTCAGATGTTTTGAAAACTTCACGGTTCAGCCTAAACTTCTATTTTGTCCACCTGATTCAAACGGTTTTAGTCCTCTCGTGGTCACTGATCGTTAGTTGTGCTGTGATTTTTGCACTGCTGGTGTTGTCTAGTGTAGTGAGAATCTCTACTAAGTTTTCTTCTAAGTAAGCTTCCTCCACTCAGTCAATGCTGACGTTGTCTCGCATCACGTTCTTGTCAGTGGTATTGTGATTTAATCCACGATTCAAAGCCTTACATGATCTGTAATGAGCCACATCAACAGGTCGGCGTGTTGAATCTCACTGTACAGAAACGTATTTACTATTTCAGGTTCATCGTGGTCGGTTAAGAGGAGGCTTTACTAAGACTACAGCATTCGTATTTCGGTTCACGAGGGAAGTGTATCTCCATATCCAGTGAAGAAAATGAAAGATCTACGAGTTCTCTCGCGAGTCGGAGTTATTGTAAAGAAGCTCAGCTACATGAGATCCAACGTTGGTTTTCATTGCACTAATGATTCCGAGTAAAAAGAGTGAAAAAGTACCAGAAGGTTGTTAACCGTCGGTAGGATCGTTCTACCAAACGACTAGCTTGTGTGTGGTAGGTGGTCGTTCATTGAACACCAAGAACTCATTTCAATGGGATGTAAACAGACTATATATATATATATATATATATATATATATATATATATATATATATATATATATAGTAAGATTATCTGCATACTTAACAAAACTGTTTTACATGAAATTTCGTGGAAAAAATGAGAAAAGAAAAACAAACAGCTTATGGTTCATCTTCTTAGTAAATATGTAAAATACTTTCATCCGAGCACATTATATTGTTCTCTTCCACAGAGGTAGAAATACAACCAGTTGGTTATCCAGCTGTCGAAAGACACTGGCAAACTTGTTTAACAGTAATGGTATTGGAATAGAGTCAGAGGTAAACGTATAGTCTAGAAATGCGCATCGAAAATGCTTCTAACTTTTCTATGTTGGACACTGTATTATGATGCAGAACAACAGCAGCATCCATGGTACTTCTTTTGTATTGCAAGCAAACTGTTATGTGTTGATTTACTCTTTTAATGTAGGCTGAGATAGGTGTAGAAATAGTTTTTCTGTTGTTTTGAGAAAAAGTTAGCCTATTGCTGTGGGTCCAAATTTTGCATTTTTGTCACCAGACACTTTCTTTGTTATTTGGATTATCTTTTTCCAAATTTCGAGTATGGAATTCGTTTAGAAAGACTTGTTAAAAATGCTCGTGAATGAACAACACAAAACGTTAGCATATTCCAAAGATTTAAGATTTTGCCAGGTCCTAAATATTCAGGAGAATTGAGTGACGAGATATTTTCAATCAGTTTTCAATACAAATTGAAACACAACACCTCTTCAAACTTGTAGATTTTGGAAACATAACATCAGATAATGAGCGCAAAAAGACTAATTTACGTCACAAACATTCAGCCGGCCATCATCACTAATGTCTCTCACTTGTAAGCTCTTTAAGTAGTTTCCATATATTTAAGGAGTTCTTACAAGATTAAAGTTTCTACGTGAATATCAAACTTAGACGTTTAATTTCTTGGCTTTTTAAGCCATTTTACTTTCGGAATTCGGCTACGTTTTTCTCCTTATACATTCTTTTTCTCTCCCAAAACTGATTATGTGGTTCATGAAGTCGTATGAATCGAGTGAAACTAACAATTCCTTTAAATATTATTTTATAACGCTACGTTCACTTTCTTTAGTTAGTTTTTTGTCATGTTAATTTCAGTCTTAAAAGACGTGGCCGTACCTACTTTGCTAACATGAATCGTGTACTTTCCAGTCAAGTCATTCGTAACCCAAACCAAATGTTTAAGCAAGGTGGGAATTCATTTGTGTTAAACTAGTTCATACTCTTAAGTTCTTTCAAGATTTTAGACGCGAAAACATTACTGTGCTCAACAAAAAATGATGACTACGTTTTTTTTTACCATGACTGAACTGACTATGTATATAGCTCAACACTAACTACCATATTGCGGTTATAGAAAACTTTATTTTAATTTTTTAATATGAATTTGTTCTCAGCTAGAGTATTATACATAGCCCCCAGAATACTTGTTGGACCTTTTACTCTCCTACATCTACAGCAAACGTATTCGGTTAATGACTGCTTAGAATGGTAGGGTTTCAAAAAGATGTATATATATTCAACATAACAGAATCTCTGATAAAACAGGAGTATAACCCTAGTACTTTTAGTTCAGCAGTTATTGGATAAATAGTTAATGATCAACGACAGCACTATAACTCATATGAAATTAAACAAATATCCTATGCTTCATGTACTTCTCTGACTATCTAGATAAACTCTCAGTGTTTGTTTTTCCTTCATCCTATTGCAGGAAAAATTAGAGTTGAAACACATCATGCATTTTAATCACATTTGTTTAAAACAGGAAACTAAACTCCCTGTAAGCACTTAAATCCTGATAGACACGTCTTGGGTACTAGAAACGCTTCATATATTTAGTCACGTTCACTGATAAATTACATGGTATTAGCCATATTCATTAAGTGGAAACTTTTCGTTAGTTTGTTTGGATAAATTATTCTTATTGTTGTTTGTCTGTAACGAAAAATGATATGTTAGTTTTTAGCACAAAGATGTTGTTTCTATTATTTGATATGTTCATCTACCTTTTTTTAATTAATTCAATATGAGACAGTCTAATGGTTAAAACAATGTGTAAAACTGAGTGCAGACGAGTACCAGATTAACCAATAATTGTGAATCAAATTCCGACAAAGCTCAATTATTTCTGCTACTAGATATTTCAGGTTATTTTGCAAGTACATAGTTTTTTTTTGTGCGACAAATGTTGTAGAGTGTAATAGGAAACCAGTGTTCACAAGCAAAATTGTCTGATTCGTGTTGACCAAAAGTGAATGTCAACAAATAATTTTGTTTTGTTTTAGGTATGTAATTTATATCACGTTGCTTGAAGAGAGATTGTATGTAATGAGCGTAATTGTCGAGAATAAAGAATAATCTATCTAATTTTTTCGTATTATTCTTGTGCGGTGCAAGACTACTCTCATATCCTGTCTCTGAAAATCAAAGCTAATTGTTGTCACTCTGTTGCTTGATAAAGACTATAAATAGTAAATATCTGGGAAACCTAATAATAAGTTACATATCAGCTCGCCTTCAAATTGATACGGCATCCGATATCATACTAGTGTCTAGAGAAAAGTATGACTTGCTTGAGAGACCGTCAATCAAGCCATCTAAGAAAACTGCTAAAAACGCATCAGATGGTGTGCTAAAACTGATTAATGAATTACAATGTGAATTTTCTTTCAATGGAACTAACTGTACAGGAATATGTTAACTAAGAGAACGGCCAAACCTTGATCTTCTTGGTCTAGATATGCTAGAAAAACCTGGTATAATGGATATACCCACTAACAATGTCTGCAACCTATCGTGTTCATCATTGGACACCCCGGCACTTACAAAAAAAGACAGGTGAAAGATCACTAGAAAAACCGAAGAGAAAATTTGCCTCTGTTTTCAGAATAGCCTTGGCCACAGTACCAAGATGAAAGCTCACTTGCCATTGAAGCCAGATGCCAAACCTGTTTTTCGTCCAAGACGTCCTGTACCATATTCTGCGCTCGAACTAGTCGACCAGGAACTTAATCGCTAGCAACGAGCTAGTGTAATCCAACCAGTCAACTACTCTGCATGGGCCGCACCGATCGTATTAATTAAAAAGGCCAATGGAATTATGAGCATATGTGCCGATTTCTCAACCGGTTTAAATGCTGTATTGGATGTATATCAGTTACCAGTTCCTGAAGACTTGTTTGCCAAGCTTAATGGTGGAACATATTTCGCGAAAATAGACTTCTCCGATGCCTATCTCCAAGTGGGAGTAGATGAAGATAGTAGAGAGCTTCTGACCATTAACACTCATCGAGGGTTATTTTAATACACTCGTCTACCATTTTGCATCACGACCTCAACTGACTTCTTTCAGCAAATAATGGATACGATGCTAACAGGTATACCTGGTACAGCAGCTTACCTAGATGATATCATAGTTATGGGTTCAACTGACAGTGGACTTTCTGATCGACTAAATCAAGTCCTTAACCGAGTGTTGGAGTATGGTTTCCAATTACGTGAAGAAAAGTGTGTCTTCTTCATGCATTCGATCAAATACCTTGGTTTCATCTTAGATAAGAACGGTCGCCGATCAGACCCTGCCAACATCGAAATCATTCGGAAGATGCCTTCAACTGATGTTCCCTCATTATGATCCTTCTTGGGTTAATCAGTCACTACAGAACATTCCTATCTGAAATTCATCGAGTGAGAGGTCCCCTAAGTGAATTATTACCAGAAGATAAACCTTAGCAGTGGTCGCCCCCAGATGCCCTGGTATGGCCGAGAGGGGTGGACCTGCCCTCCCTCTCGAAATGCTCTCACACGGCCACGCGTATACAGCCTCTGCCAGGGAGGTCCTACTCACTGCTTTCTCGTAGCTGGGGTGTTGTTTACGAAAATGAGAGGACGAAAAGCGAATGTCTGGCGCTTTAACCGGACCCCGAACCAATGGTGCACATAGGCTCCAGTATCCTGAGGGAACAAATGGCGTATGAACCAATCGTTGGTCACTGACTACCATGGGACTGCATCTGCTCACGATGTTCCACTGCCTTGTGCGTCAGACCTTTAGGTCGAAGGCTCGGGGTGTGGCCCCCTGAGAAAACCACCTGCTTCGGTGTGGGAACCCGGGCAGTATCGCAGCCCACACACAAATAAAATAAAGATGACGATATTTACTGAAAATTCTATTCACGCTTCGATTAGCAGTCAAACAATTCACATTATTATTATTATTATTATTATTATTATTATTATTATTATTATTATTATTATTGACCACGTCACTTATTCACTCTCTTATTCCCACTTTGTGTATCCTTAATTTTCGACTTATACAGCAGCTCGTTTATGGTGTAAACTCGGTTCTATCTAAACGTTCTCGAGTTACTGCCTGGTTGGAAATTGTATGCTACCACCAAATACGAATACTGAAGCAGTTTTTCTGAAACCACGTGCACCATTCAAACTGGCTGCCTTCAACGTTCGCACATTTATGCAGGTCGGACAACAGATAGGGCTGGCTATGTCTTTGGAAAGTCTTAATATCGATGTCTGTTGTCTATCCGAGACCCGTATTCAAGACTCTGGCGAAGTACTACAAATTCGATCTCCATCTGTCGCTTCGAAAAGCTTGTTTTACGTGCGCTTATCCGGGGACCCTGTGGCATCTTCGTCTGGTCTTGCTGGCGTTGGTGTCGCACTAAGCGCTAGAGCTGAGGCAGCACTAGTCGATTGGATCCCCATTAACAGTCGGTTATGTGCTGTTAGATTAGAAAGTTCCATCAAAGTGAGAAGAAATCGGCGTGAGAAACGATGTCTTTTCGTCATCTCCGCCTATGCCCCGACAGATTGCAGCCCGGATGCAATCAAGGATGAGTTTTACCACCAGTTATCTGTTCTCCAGAAAGTGCGTTCGACAGATATTGTAGTACTAGCCGGAGACTTGAATGCTCAGGTCGGGCGTCTAGGCACAGAAGAGAGTCGTTTAGGTGGCCGATGGGGGTTTGTTGGTCGCAGGTCAGATAACGGGGACCGTCTACTGCAACTGTGCACAGACCACAACCTGTTTCTGGCTAGCACTAACTTTCGGCACAGTCATCGCCGATGTGCCACCTGGCGTCCTCCCTCTGCATCTCAAGCCTGGACTCAGATTGATCACATCGCGATCAGCTACCGCTGGCGTGGTTGTGTACAAGACTGCCGCTCCTTTTGGAGTACCTATCTGGACTCTGACCATGCCTTGGTCTGCGCCAATCTTGCCTTACTTTTCAGTGGACAACGAAGTGACCGCCACCAAAGGATTGATGTTAGCAAGCTGGTTGCTTGTAAGTATCGAACCGAGCTAGCCTCTAGGCTAGCTACCACTCCACCGAAAAGTATAGATGAGCATTGGTTGCAATTGCATGACGCCATGAAAATGGCGGGAACAGTCAGTTGTGGGTTTGCGAAACGTCCCGCTTATAAGCACTGGGTTTCTTCTGGTTCCTTACAACTCATTGAAGCCCGTCGGTCTACTCCGGGTGACCGTGAGTTTGACCATAAACGAAGGATGTTACGTAAGGAAATTGGGCAAAGCTTGCGTAAGGACCGAGAAGCCTGGTGGTCGAAGCGTGCTAATGAGCTGGAAGCAGCAGCTGCATCTGGTAACTACCGGAAGCTCTTCCAACTCATCCGAGCCACTGGCAGCAAGAAGTCTGGTGTGAGTGAAACAATCTGCGAGGATGATGGGATGCCAATCACTAACATCCATCGACGTCTTGGACGATGGGCAGAATTTTTCGAAGGGCAGTTCAACTGGCCTGCTGCTCCGGCAACATCGGTCAGACTGTCCTGCCCTCCATGGCCGGTGACGACTGATCCACCAAATGAGGAGGAAGTCCGCAAGGAACTCCAACTCTTGAAGCGTTACAAATCACCTGGCCCAGATGACTTACCTCCGGCTCTTTTTAAAGATGGTGGTGACTTTTTGACTAAGGAATTGACGACGTTGTTTACAAAGGTTTGGGAACTAGAGAGTGTACCAACGTCATGGAATGAGTCGATAGTTGTCCCTATCTTTAAAAAGGGTTCACGTCGTTCTTGTAACAACTATCGGGGGATAAGTCTACTTCCGATTGCGTCCAAGCTATTGGCTTCCGTCATACTTCGTAGGTTGTTCAAAACCCGAGAAAGATTGACTCGCGAGGAGCAGGCTGGGTTTCGTTCTGGTCGAGGATGTATTGATCATATCTTCACCCTCCGCCAAATGTTAGAACACCGCCATACTTATCAAAGGCCAACAATCGTAGTGTTTCTTGACATCAGGGCTGCCTTCGATTCGTTGGATAGGACTGTTCTCTGGGATTGTCTATTGAAGAAGGGTGTGCCTGAGAAGTTTATTAACATCCTAAAAGCCCTATATAAAAACACCTCAGGCAGAGTGAGGGCATACAACCACCTCTCTCCATTGTTCCATTCGAGCAGTGGGGTTAGGCAGGGTTGCCCAATCTCACCATTCCTCTTCAACTTTGCCATCGATGACATTCTGGAAACAGCTCTGATGAATGTAAGTAATGGTGGTGTGGATCTGTTGCCTGGAGAAAGACTTCTCGACCTTGAGTATGCGGACGATATTGTCTTACTGTGCGATAATGCCCAAGGCATGCAATCCGCACTTAATCAGTTGGCAATCAGTGTCCGTAGGTATGGTATGTGCTTTGCACCTTCGAAGTGCAAAGTACTTCTACAAGACTGGCAGGATTCTAATCCTGTACTCACCCTGGATGGTGAGCAGATAGACGTAGTTGAGAAGTTCGTGTATCTGGGTAGCTGCATAAGTGCTGGTGGGGGTGTGAGTGATGAGATCAATGCACGAATAGTGAAAGCCAGAGCGGCTTATGCCAATCTGGGCCACCTTTGGCGCCTTCGTGATGTTAGTCTGGCTGTAAAAGGTCGGATCTACAACGCGTCGGTGAGAGCAGTTTTGCTCTATGCTTGTGAAACCTGGCCTCTCCGAGTTGAGGACGTTAGACGACTCTCTGTGTTCGATCATCGCTGTCTCCGAAGGATTGCTGACATTCAGTGGCAACACCATGTCAGTAATGCAGAGGTTCGGCATCGTGTGTTCGGGCACAGAGATGATAATCAATTGGTGTCACCATCTTGAAACACCGACTTCGGTGGCTTGGACATGTTCTACGAATGTCGTCCCAGAGAATTCCACGTCGTGCATTATTTGCCGACTCTGGGACTGGTTGGAAGAAGCGGAGAGGTGGTCAGTGCATGACATGGTGTCGTGGTATGAAAGAAAGCTGCAAAGGACTGGCTTCTGTTGGTCCTTCACGACTCCCTGGTTGGGGTCCGAGAGAGGGTGCTACACAGTGGCTAGAGACGTTATCAGATATGGCTCAGAATAGAAGCCAGTGGCGATCCTGCTGTAACCTTCTTTTACTTTCTTCATAAAAAGTGACCGTAGCCTCTTTAACTGAAAGGATTCTTTCTGGTTGTAGATTTCTGTTTCCCCATTATTATTATTATCATTATTTCACTACCATACACTAATTTGTGGTCGTTATTGTCCTTTTTTATTTTCACACGCACCTTACACGCTTTATCTCTTCCCTTTCTCATTATTATTGTGTGACGCATATGTATCTGGTACCTTTTTGTACTAATACTTATGTGTTCAAATAAATAAACTTTTGACATTCTGCTAGACACCTTTGAAATCAAAACGCCTGGAACAAACAGGCCAGTTACTTGATTGTAGTTGGACCCTAGCACCAAATCCTACGAATTTGCTCAAAGGGGAGGTGTCAGTGGGACAGATTTGATTAAAGCATGTTCCATGCACGATTGCGTTAGTGCACGATGATTGACTAGTTCTTGTCCAATCAGTGCTGGCTAGTACTTGGAGAAGACTCTAGAATCTTCTCATGTAAAAATGTTAAATATACTAACATTTTTCTTATTGTGCTTCTTACTTTCATCTACCCTTATTATTAGGAGTATAATTTTGTTCCTGTTCAACCGTGTTCTGATTTGGGGACTTGTCGAGTGAAATGGTGTCCAAGAATACTAAGCAATGGAAATAGCTGGGTTGTAATGAGAGAGAATCACAACACATATCGATCTTTGGAATTACCTGTCTAATAAAAAACAGTACAGGGTGTCATAGACTCTTCATAAAATTAATTTTTATTCGTTTACTGTGTAATTTTCTGAAGTTGGATGTCGACATATTCGAGTGTGTTTAGAAACTGGCTGATCTCAATGCTCTTGGCAGTCATCCTTAAGAATATGAGATTTAGCCAGCTACCGTTTGTAGTTTTGCACGTGGTTGAGATTTCCTTTTGCTGCTCAACTCTTTCCCCGCTCTGTTATTTATCTTATGCTATAGGAGTGGTTATTGAGTATGTAAGTATTGAGTTTTAGGTATCTTTACCCGCATGTAATTGTTTTGTGTATGGTTTGACAGCAGTATTATCAGAATTTACGGAATTTGTCACACGTATAATCCATAACTATGTATTGCATGGATCTGTTACACTTCATGTGTTTCGGATAATTTTTTTATAACGCTTTTATCTATCAAGCATTCAATCAACGTGTCTTGTTGTTGTAGTTTCTTGGTATTTCCATCGACGTATGAGTGCGGGTGATCGTCGCCAACTGACTGGGTTTTTCAACCCTGAGTTTTATGGACTTCGGAGTGACTTTCGTCTAACTAAATTTTCATTCCTGAGAGGATGAGGTTGTAAAGTGCCTCAAGCTGAACTAAAGAAATTGCTTGAGGCACTAAATCAACCACAACCGTGTTCACTTTCAAGTAATAAACCGTTACTGGGTAGGTTTTGTTTAGTATCCTTTTCATTAACATATTTCTATTGACATTAAAGCTTTAGAACTCGATTGTTGTGTTATCCCTATTCGAAATAACTTAAAACTTATCCAAACAACTGACTTCTTTTATCCTCTGATTGATGATCCTTACACTATGGTTAGTTAAATGACATTTTTACGCTAAGAAGACAGGGTCGAATTACGTGCTGTAATGTACTAAGTGATTTGTATGCAATGGGCGTAGTTGACTGTGATAATTTGCTTCTGTTGTTGGGTGTTCCACGTGAAATGACCCAAGAAGAACGCGAAATATCAAATCGCTTATTGATGGAGGGTTTTAAGGTAGGTTACGTTGTTTTACATATTGCAAAACATTTTCTGTTCTTTGAAGGACTGTGCATTGGAAGCTGGAACATATGTTCGTGGAGGACAAACTGTATTGAGTCCATGGTTAATGATTGGTGGTGTAGCAACTTCAGTTTGCAGTGATTCAGAATATATTATGTAAGTTCCTCAATTATCCGGTTGTTTACATCAGTTAAAAACTACAGGTGGATTTCTTCCATAGTAGTTAATTCCTGATGTACAATTAAATCAGTGGATGTGTTTTGCATGTGTGCCTAAATATTCAGGATTTTATGGAAAGAAACATCAGAATATTGATATTTTCTTATGACTTAAAAATGTTTTACTTACCACTTATACATGGTTTATCTCCAGTACTCATAAAATCGATAATACACATTCACTAAGTCATTCAAGTACAATGCACTTTGGTACATTTCATATCGATTAATATTTTAGGCTAAATGAATAAAGGGATTCATATCTAATGGGCTGTTTTTATCTTGACAATGACAAACAATCCATGCAATTTTTCCACGTTGGCTTTTTATTGTAGACTTTCTATGCATCGACTGACAATAATTCTAATGTAGTATGCGTTATACATTGTGTATATACAAGTAAGTGTTTAAAATTAGATGGAAATAACTCAACCACTAAGTACCAATTAGTTTCATGCTGTTTTATTTGTTTTCGTGACAATTTTCTATCGACCAAATTCGTGACGTCATCTCATAGTAATTGACTTGGCATTTATCTAAATACTAAGCAATGTTGGTTCAATACACCCATCAAGCAAACTGTTAGAAGAAATGAACATAGATTAATGTATTAGAAAAGGATCAGTCTGACATAGTATTGGCATATATTCACACATAAACCAGGTATCAAACTTCTCGACTAATCTTAGATTTGTTTCAGTAACTAAACTATGCTCAAATAAACCCAGACAACGAAATATCGTCTACTGCATGAATCTATTTGATTGATACAAACGTATCCAACATTATCGTATTCAGTATACGTAGAATTATAATTATATAGACAACTTTGCCTCATCCCTAATTGTCATCCACTCTTTGTAGGTTACTTCCTGATGATCTTTGGTTTTCCCGACCGTTGTTGCTACCTTGACGTGGTGGTCGGGCTTGCCTATCGTGATGAAGCAACCGAGCTATACTGGCTGGAACAACCGTTCCTCAAGGTCCTACCATGTCAGACAGGTCGGTTGAAGAGCGGTAAGACTAAAAGCAACAAACCCAAGATCCGAAGGCGAAGTCGTACTGCTGGCTGTACAGAGGTGTGACAGCAGTAAGGTGTTTCCTTCAGACAACCAGCATGACAGTGATGCTGCCTTCCCACAAGGAGGGGTGGGGTTAGAAAAGGTCGACCCTAAAAATGCACACCTCGCCTTATCCCACGGATATCCGTCTCCGGCGGTAAGGTCTCAATAAGTACGGAGCTAACACAAAAATCACCCATAACAAGGTCGTGTGTGACCGACCTCAAGCAGTTGTCCCTTGGGCACTGCTGTCACGCTTCCAGGTCACTAAGACCACTTCTAATCCGATTTCCTTTTCAGGTACCTCCAGAAGAACCCTTCCACGGTGTGGGCAACCGGGAAGTGATAACCGCCCTCATACATCTAACAGCACTCAAGGTCACTGTATTCATAATCAACCTCCCTCTCCAATTCCTATTATTCCTCCTACATCGACTTTCAACTCTATATTTCCTCTCTCGGCTTCCACCTCAAGTGTCACCGTAGCCAACGATTCTAGTGCGCAAAACACTGTCCCAGGTCTACTGAAACCTCGCTCCAAACTACACATTGGAGCCTTCAACGTACGCACCCTATGTCAAATCGGTCAGCAGGCTTCCTTGGCTAAAACCCTAGAGTCTCTTTCCATTGATGTATGCTGTGTCTCCGAAACACGCATACAGGATTCCAGTGTGGTCATTCACTTGACCTCACCTCGGCAAGACGGAGAGCCAACGAGATACACCCTTCGTGTGTCTGGTGACCCGATGGCAAGTTCTCGTGGACTGGCAGGTGTAGGCATAGCACTAAGCATGAGGGCCGAACAAGCACTGCTAGAGTGGATCCCCGTCAACAGTCGTCTATGTGCTGTTCGGCTGAACGGCTACGTAAGAACTCGGAAGGATAGGGACACACGTCGTTGCCTTTTTGTCGTTTCTGCCTACGCTCCCACTGACTGCAGCTCAGATGAAAGATGAATTTTACAGAAAGCTATCCGAACTTCTTCAGAAAGCTAAACGCTCAGACATAGTACTCGTAGCAGGTGATTTTAATGCTCAGATAGGCAGTTTAAACCAAACAGAAAGGCATTTAGGTGGATATTTTAGTATTCCGACACAGCGAACAGATAATGGTGATCGTCTGCTGCAGCTATGCTCAGACAATCGTTTATTTTTAGCAAACACAAATTTTAAGCATAAGGAGAGACATCGTCTAACATGGCGACCCCCTACACCAAACCAACGATGGACTCAAATAGACCATATTGCCATCAGTCATCGTTGGAGAGGGTCGGTAGAAGATTGTCGCTCATTCTGGAGTACCTGCTTGGACTCCGACCATGCCCTAATACGGGCACGCATCTGCTTGCGCCTCACTGGACGCAAAAAAGCCACATTAAAAAGACCCATTAGAACTGAGTTGAGTAACGAGAAAACCAAAAGTAGGTTCCAGGAACAACTGAGGTCACACTTAGGTAGTTGTGAAGACGAGGCTGACCCAGATGTTGCTTGGAAGGGCATACAAGCAGCTGTGGAAACAGCAGTGACATCTATTAGTGACTTAAACCACAGAGTTACAAGGAACCAGTGGATTTCTTCAAGGTCTGTCACACTGATGGATTCTCGCAAACTCGTCCCATCAGGTTCTGAACATGATGAAGAGCGTAAACAAATCAGATCTAGGTTAAGAAAAAGTCTAAGGAACGACCGTGAGCAGTGGTGGGTAACGAAAGCAAAAGAGATGGAAAAGGCGGCGACTATAGGGAACACAAGACAGCTTTACAGACTAATAAAAGAAACTGGAATTAATAAGTCAAGTGTAAGTGAGATTATTTCGGAAAAAGATGATACTCTCATCTGCTCCCAGTCCAGACGTTTAGAACGATGGGCGGAACATTTTAGAGAACAGTTCAGCTGGCCTTCAGCTACTCTACAACTACCCTCCATTCCCAGACAATGTGAATGGAACATTGAAGTAGGTCCCCCAACTCTTGCTGAAGTTGAGAAGGCTATAGTTAATCTGAAACGAGGAAGGGCAGCTGGTCCAGATGGATTGGCTCCAGAGGTCTTTAAGGATGGTGGTCCAATTTTAGCGATTAGGTTGACTAATATTTTAGCTAAGATCTGGGAATTAGACGTTATCCCATCTGACTGGTCGCAATCACTTATCGTCCCAATATATAAGAAAGGGTCAAAATCATCCTGTGACAACCACAGAGGGATTAGTTTAACAAACATAGTATCTAAAATACTGGCCTCGATAATTATCAAACGCCTAACTAAGACTCGTGAACTACAAACACGAGAGAACCAAGCTGGCTTTAGACCTGGTCGTGGCTGCATCGACCACATATTCACCATTCGTCAGGTTCTAGAACACAGGCATACCTATCGGCGTCCGACGATGGTGGTCTTTCTTGACTTAAAAGCAGCATTTGACTCTGTAGACCGCGAGACTCTGTGGCAGTGTCTGTCATTGAAAGGCGTACCTCAGAAGTACATAAACCTTGTGAAGGCTCTTTACTCGAACACTACTAGTCGAGTCAGGGCTTATGGCGAACTGTCATCTACTTTTGCAACCTCAAGTGGTGTCCGTCAAGGCTGCCCACTTTCTCCATTTTTGTTTAACTTCATCATAGACCTATTGATGGAAATAACACTCTCGTCGACTGAATTCTCGGGTATTGATCTCCTTCCAGGAGGTCCACTTATCGACTTAGAATATGCAGATGACATAGTCCTGTTTGGTGAAGACGCTGACAAAATGCAGAGTCTTCTGGTAGCACTAAGCAACAATGCCAGAATGTTTGGGATGCGCTTCTCTCCCTCTAAATGCAAGTTGTTGCTTCAGGACTGGTCTGCGTCAACACCTGAACTAAGGATAGGGAGTGAAGTAGTCGAACGAGTTGACAACTTCACTTATCTTGGAAGTCTGATCAGCCCTAATGGGTTGGTGTCTGACGAAATCTCAGCACGGATTCGTAAAGCTCGTTTGGCTTTTGCCAACTTACGTCACCTTTGGCGGAGGCGAGATATCCGTCTATCAATAAAAGGACGAGTATACTGCGCGGCAGTCCGTTCTGTTTTAATTTACGGCAGCGAAACATGGCCCTTAAGAGTAGAAGACACCCGTAAGCTACTAGTATTTGACCACAGATGCCTTAGAAATATTGCTGGCATCTGCTGGGATCACCGGGTAAGTAATAGTGAGGTTAGACGCAGGGTATTAGGGAATGATGGTAAATCAGTTGATGAGGTTATGAATCTTCATCGACTGAGATGGTTGGGCCACGTATTACGTATGCCTGAACACCGATTACCACGACGTGCAATGCTAACCGGTGTAGGGGATGGTTGGAAGAAAGTTAGGGGCGGCCAAACCAAAACGTGGCATCAGTGCCTGAAGTCACTAACTTCTAGTCTGAGCCATGTTGGTAGATGCAGACTACTTGGTTGGGGTCCGCGTGACTTTCGTAACCAATGGTTGGAGACCCTTGGTGACATGGCTCAGAATCGATCACAATGGCGTCGGTGTATACACTCTCTGTCTTCTCTTAAACTAAGAGATTAAGATCACTTCACATCTTTCTTTCTACGAACTAATTCTTTCTTCCTATACTATATCCTTATTGCAATCTTTCTCCTATATATTACCACCTTTGACCTAACCACTCCTATGAATCCGGTGTTCATCTTGCTGTGCTGATGAGGTATGGCAACCTGGGCCGATGCATACATGTGCCTGGTCCTACGTTGTGACTGACTTTGCTGTTGGTTTTTATTTTCACTTTTTTCTCCTACCATCTTTTTTCGTACCACTGTGAATTATTACTACACAAATGGTTTACTATTTGTTGTATGTTTGACTTCACTCGGCTTAATAGTGCATTACTCTTCATTTAATTTTTAATGGTTTGTCAATATTTGGTCTCCTAATTTAATCAAATTTTAACAGGCCGGATCAAGCTGCAGTGGGTGACGTCTTAGTACTCACAAAACCTTTGGGCACCCAAGTAGCTGTTTCAGTTTACTACTGGATGCTGGAGGATAGTCCATCTTGGTCTGGAAATCTAGCCAATATCATCACATCAGATAAAGTAAAGAGTCTGTTTCATTCTGCTACTCTCTCCATGACTCATTTAAACCGAACAGGTTTGTGCGCTTCACCTAGTAAATATTGATTCTCAGATGTTAATTGATATGCTGTCGTACTAACATTTTCATAAATACATATCACTGTTCATCCTATACTTGTCGCAATAAAGTTAACCAATCAATATACAAAACAATTTCGACTAAGTTAGGTTTATAACCAAATTGCATTTCTTTATGCTCAAACACTAGACACTCAATATGAATAAGGATTATTGGTTTTTGAATACGATAAACTCTCTCTATGTTAGTGAGACACATTATTTGTCATCAATAAAACAGCATTTGCTTTCTATCAATTTCCTCAAATTTGCAGATTCCTTCTTGAAGCGTTCGTATTATTTAACTAAACCTGCATAAGTGACAAAGTTGTCAGATTCTTATTTTGTGAGCTTCACCTCTCAAACTCTACGTTATTGGGTGAGAAATCTGACGACCTTATTTTACACCGACAACATCACTGATCAACTCCTTCCCCAAAAAATATTGGTAACAACACATCAGTCATTATTATCGTGAGATTTAGCATAGAGTGTGCTTCAGTTCAAAATGATATAACTTTCATCAGTACAGCAAGTCTAAGTAAATAAAATCAAAAGTTTAAGTTGGGAATTAATATCGAAAGCAATTAAATTCTAAACATGAGAACTGTAGTCCAAAAGGAACAAATGATCTGCTCATTTACGTTCAGGTCTAAGACTAATTAAACCTTCGTATAATTACTGACTCCACTACTTTAAACAGTTATAGTTTAACTGGTTCAGTGTCAGTTAAATACGTGTTTTGCTCTACAATCCCACGATTCATCCAAATAATTTTATTTTTGAGAGGAATCTAAGCATTTATTGATGACATCATAAAACCACTTTAACTAACTTCTTATGTTTCGTATAATTCTAAGTTTAAGATATTCAAGGCGATCAAAGCGCTTGGGTTAATAAGTTTTGTTCGTAACCGAGCGAGTGTATGCCCTTTCTTAATGATTTTTACTAAATGATTGATTTGGCATTTTCTCTTTTCTTTCTCATACAGTTAAGAGCAGTTTCTCAACCACATTGTAATTGTAAATCACACTAGCTATTATCCAGCTGACGAGAAATTGCATTACCTTTCAGCTTACGCTTTTTAACTATCTTTTTCCGAATGCAGTAAAGGAATACTTTGGGACAAAAATAATTACTAGTCATGTTCATGTGATGAAAGCACCGCATAAAAGCTATTAGAATTAAGTGTTTTCTTTTATTCTAATTTTTTGAACTTGTTACTATCAGTACCGTAATTGTTGTTATGATGGTAATTTGTAGGTTAATTTTTCTCACTGCATTGTTGGAGAGCGGTTAGAATTTGAATTGACATATTTCCTCCTATTTTGTATCTACTACTATGCATCAACGGTATCTTTCTGCTAATTCTAAGAAGCTACATATTTTGCCGACGAGAACACTTTTTATTTGTCATATACATACAGAAAATTAGGATGTAATGATGTGTTCTTAAAGAGCTTATATTTTAATTGTTCATTGTAGCTGCTCGACTAATGCATAAACATCACGCCCACGGGTGTACTGACGTAACAGGTTTCGGTCTTTTGGGTCACGCAAATAATTTAGTCCAAGTTCAGGCAAACAATCACTTAGCCTTCAGCATTCATACTTTGCCGTGTCTTGAAGGAAGCTCGTTGATTTCCAGGGCATTAAACGATCGGTTAAAACTACTTCAAGGTTTTTCTCCAGAAACATCAGGTACTGTTTATTTTTGCTTTGTTTTTTATGTCTGTATTGAACTTGTATGCCTTATCATAATGTATTTGTGGCATTAAGTTTGATATACTTATGGATAAACTTGATTATTCCTTCTATTGAAAATAATATTAGTTTTTCACCAAAACCTAGGTGGTCTGTTGATTGTTCTTCCCCGAGAATCTGCCCAATCTTTTTGTGAAGAGCTAACTGCTGAAATTGGATGTCCATCTTGGATAATTGGAGATGTAATAGAAGCCGATTCAAAAAGCGCTTTCCTTGTTCCACAACCAGAAGTCATAGATGTTCAACATTCACAAATCATCCCACCAAAATGTTCGACTAATAGCCAGTAATTTTCCTTCCACATTTTCAAAAACTGAATCAATCACTCTTCGACCATATGATACTGATGATCGAAAATGCTGCATGATCATTCAGCTGATGATGTCTTAAAGTGATTTGATTTAATCCATTTCCGAATATTCATATGCTTTTAATCAAGTATTCAATTATTTTGTGGTAGATTCAAGAAATGGTCACGTTCTATCTTCAGGCTTTTTGTAATGCAGTATTGGAACTTTCGCAATAAAATTTTTGGAAACTCGGTCTCCAACTTTTGTGTGTTTACTTGGACTCCATCTATCTATAAGGCATTTTACACAACCAAAACTTAGCGGTTACCATTTTGCAATATCACTGTGACAGTATTTGCACATATGAAACTGATTGTGTAGATTTTCAAATACAAACCTTTGGCTAAACGTCAGGCAATAATGTGTATTTTATTAAACTATAACCTTAAGAAGTCTACTGCAGTATATCACGAGCGCTTAGTTGCTGTGAATAATTCTGTTGGTTTTCCACTAAATATTTAAATCTCTTGAACTGATTTGTTTTCAGATTTACTTATCGACTTCGGTATTAGCTAGTAGTTGTATCTTGCAGCTGAAGTATACCACATTAACCCTAAGCTGTAAAAGAAGTCTCGATATTTTTCGACATTAAGAATTGATAGATCATTTCTATAGAACAAGTTCATCGCTAAAAATTACCATCCCCTTGGTTTTATAGTTTATATGAGCTTTGCTATATTTATGAAATTCGGGTGTAGATTTCACAGTATAGTTTCATATTCTGAATATTAGTGCCAGTCTAAACCACATATTTCCCTAGCTATTCAACTGTATCAAGATAGGACTTGGATTTCAGTTCAAGTGAATTCGGATTGTATATATTCAATAACTTCGCAACATGTCAGTCAGTCAGCTACAACGTAGGACCAGGCACATATATGCATCGGTCCAAGTTGCCATAACGCATTAGCATAGCAAGATGAACACCTGATTTATAGAAGTAATTAATTCAATAATGGTAATATGTAAAGAAAGATTGCATATAAAGACATAGTACAAGAAGAAAGAATTAGTACGTAGAAAGACATGAAGCGATTTTAATCTCATAGTTTAAGGGAAAACAGTAGAGTATACACCTACGCCATTGTGGTCGATTCTGAGCCATGTCACGAAGTCTCCAACCATTGGTTACGATAGTCACGCGGACCCCAACTAAGTAATCTGCATGTAGAGCGGGATTCCATACTGTTTGGATTTTACATATTCTCTGTAGTCCTTAACAAAATAAGCGGCTTCAGACAGATTAAATATTAACGCAAATTCAGACGGATCACGTGTGAGAAATAAAAATGTGAACATGTTATTGTAACTAAATTATTGATCCGACTAATGTCACGCCCTGCATATCACTGTCTGCGTCATTAAATTAAGATATATACTCATGAGTTATGTACACTTTTGTTTGGCTTTTGGCATAATACTTATTCTTAGTTTTCTTACTGTTGTGCAACTACTCGGGTCAAACATTACTGAGCTTGTGAATTTGTGACTGCATTAAACCGAATATCATACCGGTTTTGTCGAATCGCTTGTGTTAGCGGGGATATAAACTGGATTAAAGCACGTTCCGCACAGGATTACGTTGGGGCACACTCACTGGCTATTTCTTGTCCAATCAGCGCTAACGGACACTTGGAAAAGAATCTAAAATCCTCTCATGTAAAAACTATAAATATAATAACGTTTCTCGTCATGATTCCTACTTCCATCCAGTCTTTTCATTTAGAATATAATTACGTTCCTGTTCAACTGTGTTCTGATTTGGGGACTTGTCGAGTAAGGTAGTGTCCAATATTATTAAGCAATAGCAGTAGCTGCGTCGTAATAAGAGGATAGTATTACAACTCGAAATTAAATTTTCATTTCGAATTTGGCTAACAATGGTGATTATAATTGGAGTAGTATGGAAACCTTGTTTCTATTCAGATTGTGACTAGTAACTTTATATCATCTGCGCCTGATTCCTAAAGATATTTAAAGCATATTATTAAGTGGTTTATCCAGTACTTCCTCGCTCTCATAAATTCTCGAGTAAGGTATTAATAAAATTCGTGTAAACAGTTTTGAAATCTCGTTGGTTTTCTGCACCGTTCTTTCTACGAACTAATTCTTTCTTCCTGTACTATATCCTTACTGCAATCTTTCTTTTAGATATTACCGCCTCTGAATTAACTACTTTTATGAATCCGGTGTCCATCTTGTTGTGTTAATGAGGTATGGCAACTTGGACCGATGCATATATGTGCCTGGTCCCACATTGTAGCTGACTGACTGCACCGTTCAACAGACAATATACTGACCAACTTCCGCTACTGGTTATAATGAATTAATACACATTTTAACTAGCTAAAATTTGTTCACTTATCTAGGTTATTACTGAATACTGTTATCGATTACCGATGACTTGAAGAACAAATACGGGACAGAGTATAAAATAAATGTTTTTTTAATATTTTATCTGCTTAAATAAGTCAATTTTAAAATATCACAATGATTTAACAACTTAATAGTATAATTTCTTTTATAATCAATTTTGTATTAGCGTTGGCTTAATCATGCATCACTTATTCGTTATAAAAAAATCCGCAATGCGGAAAACTCATCAGTTTACTTTTCTGTACCATTATTGCAAGAAACGGGACTAGTTCGTGTAACATGGAATGTTTTAGAAAATAAATTGACTTCCTAAGAGAGACGGTTATTCAAAGCGACTGAGTTCGCGTTCTCCGTGTTGTATTTGAGGATTCTGCTTTTTCTTGTGTTGAGGCCTACTGATGCAGAGGCTGCTGCTACACTAGTTGTCTTCATCTGCATTTGTTCGTGTGTATGGCAAAAAAGGGTCAGATCATTTGTGAGGTCCAAATCTTTTGATTAAAATAAAAGACCTACAGGCGGAGTTAGACGTATTCTCGTTATATTTAATATTTCAGGTTTCGGACTATACTTTGTACTAACTTTACTATGACGAAATTAAATACTAGATACGTGAATAGTTAACCGGAATCAGATGTAAGGCACTAATTATGAGCAGTAATTGTCAAATCACGCTCCGCACAAGACTAATAAGAAAAGACTAGATAGATTATTCTCGACAATGACGCTCATTACATACAATCTCTCTTCAAGCAACTCGATATAAATTACATACCTAAAACAAAACAATGTCATTTGTTTACCTTCGTTTTTGGTCAATGTGAATCAGAAAATTTTGCTTGTGAACACTGGTTTCCTATTACACTCTACAACATTTGTCGAACAAAAAGCTATGACGTCGCAAGCACAATTAGCGAGAGGCTGAACATTGCACTAGCCAGGACTTACCCGGCTGCCAAACTATTAATTCTGTGTAAAACATGCTCAATAACTCAATGAAAGGTTGAAAAGTACCCCTTTCGTGTTACCGCCAACTGTATTTATAAATTTACATGTGCCTGCCAAAGCAACCACACTGGCCAAACAGAAAAGATATCTTCGATTTTTTGAGCACATTCCAAAAAGCCTCAGAAAGAGAAGAAAGACTCTAAACAGTGCAATCACTAAAGATCTCTTAGATACAGGACATCAGGTCCATACCCTGCAATCTGTCTATGTGATTAGTAGGCAGACGAACTTGTCTTTTGAAGTTTGCTGAGGCCATTGCTATTAGGTGTCAACAACCTGACTTATGTGTTCAAAAGTGGATGATTACTAATCTTTCATGGCCTTGGTGACAAATATTCCTTCGTTGCATCTTAAACTCTTTTCTTTAACCTTTTCTTACATCATTGAGTTTTTATTTCAACTATCTTCCAGATTAGTAATCTTATTTTATTAACAGTGCTTTACTCATTTTATTCCTATCACTGTTTGCTCATTATGTAATCACTTGTTTCTGGCCGTTTGAACTGTTGTCACAATGTTGCAGAATTTTCTTTTACATAAGGTGCATATTTGCAATATTTAGTCTAGTAAATTTATTTACACCCTTGCTGTACTATTATGTCTTTAATATAGCTTCCGACTAAAGACTTTCATGAACTTATGCTCTTCTGCTAGAATCGTTGTTCTTGCTCTTTTCCAAAGGATAAAAAGAACTCTGTGTGTGTGTGAAAAAAACTACGTATTTGCAACATAAACCTGAAATGTCTATCTAGTCGCAGAAATAAGTGAACTTTGTCGGAATTTGATTCGCAATTACTGATCAGTATGGGATTCAGTTCTATATTACAAAAATGACCATTAGATATCCAATAGGTCTGTTCTTCAATCATACAGTTGTCAATTTCCTTCACTCTACCCCAATTCTTTATAAACCTCTTAATAAATCAGACTATCACATGTGGATAATCGCTAGTTAAAGATGTAAAACGACAAATGTCGAACAGCCAAATACGTCTACATGATTACAGGATGTGTGTTTAAACCTTAAGAAGAAAAATGAAATCGAAGCATAATTGGGAGGAACTGGGTAGTGATTCAAAAACTAAAATTCTGTTTTAAAAGTTATTCTTATGACTGTCTATTAGATTCATATACGTTTTCTCCGTCAAGGATAAGTAACAGAAACATTCAAAATGACAAATTATTCTATCTAGGAACAAGCTGATTATCAGAATATATCTTTTGAAGTTAACCAGTTCCCCTAAACCAGGTTGCTCTCAAAATCAGTTAAATGAATTTCAAAAGCCATTTAAAGCTTCGACTGTAATTCACGTAATAATATGCCGTTTGGTTCAGCTATAATGCATGCTTCTGGCGTTTAGTCAACTCATTAATGCAGAAGTAGAAGACATTACGATCTGACTGCTTTGTAAATCATATTTCGTTGGTACCACCAAGCTGAGAAATAAATGAAGTACCTTCGTAGAGAGACAAAGTGGTTATAAACAACAGATTTGTGAGTTTATTATTTTACATATCACCTGATAGAAAACGGCTTACTCTGTTAATTAGATTAGATGAACTTGGAAATAGTATTTGAGTAATGTGGATAGGAATCAAAATTTGTAAACAACCCAATCACACTGATAATATATTTCCCTACACTACTAGTAATTTTAATAAGTAGTACGATTACTAACGTAAAATATTATGTAGGTCAATGAGGATAATACATACCACGTAAATTATCCAAGTCGATCTTGTATACATGTAGTTTTCAAAATTAGAGAAGTGCTAACAATGTAAAGATGAGTCTATGATGAAGTTTTCCCCACTAATAAGTTATTCAGAAGCTGACTGTTTTAGATACGGTACACATTTTCAAACTTGATGTGAGAAAACACTACTAAGTACTGACAGTTACTTTATGAATAAAAATCCGAGGCGTTTGATTTCTTAAGTACATGAAATTTTTGGACCGATTAGCAAATTTAGAAACTAGAGGATGTTTTTGGTTATTCTACTTGGAAACTATACATTGCTCTATTTGAGCTCATTTAAACAAGATCAACCTATAAACCACTGACAACTCTTATCATCATATTTAAAAATCTTGATATGATTGTATCAATCCATCTTATTATTAATTCTTAAACTTTTATTTGTACTAATCACGATAAAAATTGGTTGCAAACAAAATAATGTGATTATTAAGATAGTGGAAAATTTATAGCATACAAAGAAGTATGACCACATTAGTAATGCAAAAAGTAAATGTCGCAATCAAGATTATTGGGAATACTACACACTAAATAACGTTATCTGTGAACAAACACTACGAAATTATCTAGCATTTACGCCGAACTGATGAATATAACATCGAAACTTTTGACATTTATAAAGATGAGCATAGGGACAAACATATAAAGAAATAGCCTGGTTTTAGTAAAAAAAGCCTTGAGAACACACCTCAAATTTCATATACCAAAACCAATAAAATCGACACGAAAACTACTGACATTTGTCTAGGTTTTAGAATGCAGTTTCCCATTAGCAGGGAACAAAGGATTACTTGAGAAGATTCATATCTGTGTTTGGACGAGATCAATGGTTCCACAACAGTCTGTTTTGTTTCATTTGTATTGGTTGTTTGAATGTGAGTCCTGGATTACACTGCCAGCCACTAACCATCTCTGCTTATAAGCACATTTTAATTGTTGAACTCGTAAGAAATTTAATTTTTCGGAGATCAATATCTTCATATTATTATTTACAACTGCTAACACGGATTTAATTCTAATTAAGAATGTGAGAACTCAAAATAAGGCATAGAAGTCTCTAGATGTTGTGAACTTGGAGGGCAAAGTAAGGTAAGGCAATTACAGCCAACCTTATTGTCATTTCGAGATGATGAAGAGACATAATGTGTGTCTCCGTATAAAAAAATGCGATGTTATTAGACACTTCAAGTGCATCCATCATCAATAAATGGTTAAACCAGCTTTGTCTAGAGTCCGAAACCAAGAATAAAGACCAGTGGCGGGCAACATCAACACGTTTACGATATAGAGGCATGCCAATTACTCCTCACCAGTTAGCCCTCAACGACTTCAACACATCTGGGAAGTATAATGAAACTAAGTGTTTTAGACATGATTAGTAATTGGCTTATACCCTGACAATAATCACGTGCGTTACACATGTCCTTGGTGACGATGAGTGAGATAATTTTAATCTAGAATCGTTAAGCACTTGTACTTCACCATTGAATTCTGGACGGTCCAGTATGTTGTTCAGTCAGAATATCTCTGTCATCCATGAGAGGAACCGAGATTTATTAACCTCCATCAAGTAATGTATAACTTTTGAGTAGATGAAGTTCTTTGTAAATCACAAATATGTTACTCAACTAGTTACCTTTCAGGGATAGCAAACTTCGGTCGGAGTTACTTAAGCAATTGGCAAATTAAAGCATCCTTTTTAGTTGCTCCAAATAAGAGAAATGTGCCCAGTGTTTTACCAAGTATCCCCCGGAATCAATTATCAGTCGCCAAGAAGTTGATTGTTTATAAGTAAATTTTGCACAATCATAAGCAAATTTGTTCGCTACTGACACGTCTTGTAAATCAAATCAGTCACCCATTTATTTATTCAAACACAAAAGTATTGGCAAAAGAAAGTACCAAATATATATACGCCATACTTCGTCATTCGATTTGTGTGAGGCTGGGATACAGCCCGGGCGCCCAAACCTAAGCAGGTGGTTTTCTTAGGAGGCCACTTCTCAAGCCTTTGGCTTAGCGGTTTAATTCTCAAGGTAGTAGATCAACGTTAGGAAATGCAGTCTTATTACCTCTACCACTACGGGATTTGAATCGACCACTGCATCTCTGTGCTAATGTGGTGTGGCAACTCGAACTGATGTACGTACGTACGATGTTCTACGTTGTTATTTACTGACTGACTGCAGTCTCATGGTAGCCAATGGCTAACAACAGGTTCATACGCCTTTTGTTCATTCAGGATACTGGAGCCCACGTACACTATAGGTTCGGAATCAGGGTTTTTTAACTCCCCCAGATGAACCCTCGGTATCCACCAAACAGTCGCCCATATACATACTAGTGATTTAAAAATTATTCTTGAATCTAAAATAGTTTGATGTTTGATAGAAATGTTTGTTTATATTTCAATCACCTGTTGGTAACTACGGTGATTTTCCAAGTCATAAACCCACGAGTTAACTGATTGTAATAAGTCCAGGTTTGAATTGGACAGGTAGAAATCCTAGTATCCTATAGGCGATGATTGTGTACTGATTAAAAATAAGTTATTATGTACGCGAAGCTGTAGCAGACGGTTCTTACTATCCTATTTGCAAGTAATATGTTACTATGGGCTTTTTAAATGAACTTTTTGTGTTTAGATGCCTGGTCTATAAATTTAAATCCTTGGCTAGTTATCAGAATAACTGTCGAATCCTAAATGTTAAGACCCTTACATACAGTTTGGAATCTTTTGGAGTCGTTGTGTAGTGGGTCAAGATAAATATTGTAGGTTAACTGTTCTACTAATAACTGTGAACAGGTATATTTTACTGGAAAATGAAAGCTACTCACGCATAGGAAAGTGACGGGACACACTACAATACGTTATCATTCACTACTAAAGATTTTAAAAGTCATCACCGAATGGAACTAATTGCCATAATAAAGTTTCCACTTGACTATCAGGTGACTTGCAACTTATTTGGCAGATAAAAATCATACTTGGGCGTGCTATGTAAATGCAAGGTGGTATGGATTAATTTTTATTTTCAAGTAGTTTCTTTGAATTAGACCATTCACTAACAGCTAAGTACAAGTTACCATAAAATCGAAGGGCATGATTTTCAAACGACCGATGATCCTTCCTATGCCACCCATCCACGGAAGCCAACTTATTGATCAGGTTACGGTTCATTTTTCTAATTCGTCTCCAATAATAGTAGGAATTTTTATCAACCTCTTCAAGAGGGGGAGAACCTCTATCTGTCCGTAATTTCCAGAGCCAATCCGGATACTCACTACGGGGGTTAATTATAAAAAATTCATACTTATCTGGCTTCAGTGGAATAGGTTGTTCACCTATCCTATAATTAATACAGCAGCAGTTTACAATTTTCTCTGGATCTGTCTCCACATTAATTTCACGTATTTTAGCGACAGCGGCAATTCCTTTGGCTAAAGAAATGAAACAAGTCAATTGAGAACTAACTTGTTTTCCCTTTTTTTGCATATTTTCGGGTGAATGTACACAGAACATTATGGTAAAATTTGAATGTTGACATACAGTGATCTTTAAAAAAACTAAAACCAACAGAAATTTGATATGCATGGTAAAACAATGATAAAGATAAACAAAATGACTTCATAAAGAACTATTTCTAGGTGTCCGTACGTTTTCAACCCGTGATGTAATTATATGTTTTGGAATATTTTTAGAACTGACAGAAGTAATTCAGAGAAACTCGAAGTAAAAATAGATGCTCTGTTCAACTTAGTTCAGATTTTTACGAGCGTTCGCACAAAGTACATCACGCTAAATCAAAACATCAAACCGTATTCCCTGTAAAGGAAACACCCACTTCAATATAATTTACTATTTGAATTTCGCTTGTCACTTCTCATAAATTGAAAAATTCTGCAAGTACCAAAGCAATCGTTAATTTAAAGAAACATAATGTTCTGAAACCTATCGCGACTAGATTCCAGCAGATTATTAGCGTAATTTTAGTGTTAAACATGCGTATTCCCTACCTTAAGCTATTGAAAATGACGCTACATTATTGTCAGCAGGGAACAAGTACGTAATTCCGTAATCTAGTTATATTTAATAGTTAATCCATTGATACTACAAATTGTATACATACACTAAATTGCTGATGAATTAGCGCCAACCACTGTTTGACACATTTGAGTTTCACCAGACAAGTGAATAACAACGTGAAGTGTTTTTAATGATGCGGTTCATAATAGGTCTAGAGCTAGAATAGATCAATCGTTTGTGCAGTCTTACTTTCTTATATCGATCTGTATCATTCTTTGTTCAGTCGTAACAAGCAGTGAAAGACAGTTGTCTTCCAGTTAAAACAAGCAGCTAACGCAGTAACTCGTCCCAGTCACAACAGTTAGTGATAACGGTCTCTAGAGTAGCGGTAGCCCAGTAGTCAAATTATCAAACTCTCAGTTGTTGTTACTAGTTTTGATCGTGTCCCAATCACAAGTTGGGATATTGGATACTTCCATTAGCTTTTAAACAGAGAACATGGACAAATGACTGATTAATGTGCCGTAACACCTCAATATGTATTAAGAGATCTCGATGCTTTTTCATCCATACGCTGAAATGATGGTCCTGATAAGTGGAATAATGAGGCTCGTTACCATTTTAGATATTTAAAATCATTTCGAACGCAATAGGAATTCATAACGTATGTCCACTTAGAGAATTACAATCATTTAATAATTCAAGAAGACGAAATGTCACAATGTAGACTTGACCGGTTTTTAAGTATCAGATAAAGGGCTCCTGTCTGAAAAGTCACACATATGAAGTTTTTGGTAGATTAAGGAACGTAGTTTATTTTAGAGCACTAATAAAGCCTTTTGATTAGTGCAAAGGTGGAAATCAACAAAACAATCTAGACTTAATGACTGTATGCCGATTTATAAAGGACAAAGATCCAGGAAGGAAAAACATGTGACAATCTGGGAAAGATTGGCCGATATATGGAAGTGGAGTCCAAATGCAAAGTACGTTTTAAATCTTACTAACAAACGATCGAGTTGCGACGTCTGGCTTACATATAAACCATAAATGTGGCTGACTGCAAATGTTTGCGACGATTCACCTATTTCGATTTAAATCTGTATTTTTTTGTGCCATGAAAACACTAAATGAACGTCTTAGGAATGTGTTAGAGACACAACCTCGAGCTTCTAACCTTAGTGCAACGTTTGGGTCGAATCGAAGGCTTGGAATGTTCAATATCCAACACATTTGTGAAATGCTAAAATTAACTGGTTGATCTATTATAGGAACAAAAACGGTTTTAAAATAATGGAAGTATCAAAAGTATTTTTTGCGTCATAGATTGAGGCGAATTTCACAGATTTATGCAGTTTGGTATGTTCTTGGTGTATTTGACGTTCAAATGGTTCAAATGGTTGAGGACGGAATAGAAGAAGCTTTCGCTTATTAGGCTTCCATGCTTAGTAGCAGGGGATCACCAAATCCTCCAGGCAAGAACCTAGATATGTTAACAATAAAAGAGGAGAAAGAAATTGGTAAATCATAGTATGATGCTGTCCTTGGTCCTTAAGAATAGGTCAAGTTGCATCTTGAGGGACTCCTGGGAAGTCACTTGGACTAGCCCGGTCGGCAGCGAGTTCCAGCATTTGATAACTCTTAAGGAATAGAAGTTTTGCCTTCATTCCGTTTTGCTATGTTGTGTCTCCAGTTTCTGGGTGTTACCCCTTAGGTTAGTGTTCGAACTAAGCTTAAGTAGGTGTCTAAGAGGATGTCCAGAAGTGTTGAGAATACTATAAGCCATTAATAGATCACCTCTAAGACGCCTATACTCTAATGGGTAAAGGTCTAGTGAATGGAGGCGCTCTTCGTAAGGTTTAAATTTGAGTCCCCGAACTGGTTTCGTGGCTTGCCGTTGGATACGTTCCAAAGTGTCCTTATCCTTTTGGAGTGAGAGGTGAAGGACTATGTTTCCGTACTCTAAGTGGGGACGGATGAAACTATTGAAGATTAGATGGAAAGTTCTTCCGTCAAACTGGCCAAAAATGCGCCTCAACGTTACCAGTGCAAGGTTTGCTCGGAAGGCATTTTTGTCACAGTTAGCGTAAGACTTCAAATCACAGGACTCCTAAATCTTTTTCTACTTGGGATACTACTAGAGCGGAGTTTCCTAAGTTATAACTGTAGTCTGCGACATGTCGCAGATAGATTACTTTACACTTTGAAGTGTTAAAAGTAAGTCAATTATTATCTGCCCAACTTTGGAGTCGAGTCAGATCCTCCTGAAGTGCCTGTATATCATCTTGATTGCGTATCTCTCTCCAAAGTTTAACATCATCGGCAAAGAGTAATAATTCTGACCTTACCTGTTGAGGAAGATCATTTATGTAGATCAAGAAGAGAAGAGGCCCTAGTACTGAGCCCTGGGGGACCCCACTAGGACATTCCATAGCCTGAGATAAAGTGAAATTAACCATAACATCAAAGTGTCGATTTTTCAGGTATAAAGTAAGCCAATCGATTGGAGGTGGTCTGATACGCAAACGTTTGAGCTTATTGATAAGACATAAATGGTTAACTTTATCAAAAGCTTTTGAGAAATCTAGGTATATGATATCAACCTTCCCCTTGTGATCGAGGATGCTTGTCCATCTGTCCACCGCAGTCAGCAGGTTGGTTATGCAAGAGTAGCCTTCCTGAAACCATGTTGTTGAGGTGAGAAGAAATTTAAGGACAGTAGATAGTCGTATAAACCATCACATATCAGGGACTCCATGAGCTTTGAAGGTAATGACAGGAGAGCCACCGGCCGATAGCTTGAAGGTTCGCTGCGTCGATATCCTTTGAAAATTGGTGTAATGTGAGCCAACTTCCAATTTTCCGGTAGTTTACCTCGGCTTAGCGAGTGTGAGAACATCACGCTAAGCGGCACTGCCAGTATGTCAGAATGGACCATATTCGGGCCAGGAGAAGTTTCTAGTCTTAAGTGCTGCAATTTCTGGAACACCAAGTCAGCGCTTAAGTTCACTTCTGAAAGTTCTGTGGAATTGCAAACGAAACTGTCATCAGTAAAGTTAATGTCGGTCGGTTGAAATGTCTGGGAGTAATGTTCAGCCAGAAAGCTAGCGGCGTCGCCATCGTTGTTGGTCTGGCCGTTAAGACCTAGCAGTTGGGAAACTCCAGTTTTGGCTTGACGAAGAGAGGCTGCATAATGGAATAAGCTTTTAGGATTAGAGTCAAATTTGTCCATAAGCTTTTTCTGGTACTGAAGCCTGTCTTCTCTTATAGCCTTCGTGCATATGTTCCTTATATGTTTATATTGCCTGTACGCTCCGTCGTTGTCAGTTCGTTGGTATTCCGCCCAACAGTGCCTTTTGCGGCTTAGCAGGAGAAAGGTACGGTTCGTGATTATTGTACGTGGCTTGCAGCTTTCGGGAACTGTTTGAGGAACTGAATGGTTTGTAGCACATAAGAGTGTGTACAGTAAGAAGTCCCAATGACCGTCCATATCGAGTTGAGGGTGAACATCCCAATCCACCTGTTGTGGATAGTTGTGTAGAACTGGCACATTCAACCGTTTAAAATTCTAACGCAAGTTATTAGTGGGATAACTTAGTTTAGTTTTGCTGACGTATTTGACATATTTTACTTAAGGCAGTAGTATTATTGGAACCAGCAGCCTTCATGCAATTTTCTGGTCGGTTTATTGGAGCTATACAATGGCTAAACGTTCGTGTCAGAATAGTGAATATTAGGAAGTAGGTAATCCTTTAATGTGTTCATGGATACAAAGTTTCCTCTCGAAAGAATCCCTAGGATGGACTGTGAATAAACCAGCTGAGACATGATTCCAGGAAGAAAAGATCTGCAGTTCAAACAACGTGATATCACACTTAAGTAATTGCCCTTTGATAATTTACCTCACAGTGGTTACATAGAGATTTGGAATGATGAATTTCAAGTAGATCTACTGTATTAAGCTGACACAGACTTTAAACACGTTTTCTAAAGTTTAAAGATCGCTTTGCCCTTTAACTTTTGGTTCTTGCATTCATTATCAGTTGCTCTATTAGTTTCTCCTCCCGATTTGTTGCATGAGATTCTTATTCTCTTCAAGAAGATGAGGTTTAAGTAACCTAAGTTTGTGCACACCACATCATTTAACTGGACTCTTGTTTGGTATGCTTCTAATTTCGTTTGCCCAATGTAAAAATGACTGCGAGCTAGATTATTTCGAGGAAACTCTCAACTCACCTGATTTATTTTCGCCTTCGTCTAATTGTTTAACTCCAACAAACAGCATATTAGCACAGTTAGGATGATTGAATTGCATCGAAACACTTCGGCATTCTTAGTTTTGGAAGTACAACCATAGTAAGAAACTCACCATTTGAGAAAATTCGGCGCTGAAAGTTTCTAGATGCCTTAACTGAGATCACAATGTTTAGTTGGCTTCGAAATTATTAGGAGATAGTATAGGTTTAGTTGTAGACCTATATTTTCTTTCCATAGAGGACATGTAACAGCTGAAGTTGGTCGACTAAGAAACTGCCGTCAACCTCCATTTAAAAAAAAGTATTAAAGCTAAAGTATATATTCATACTTCCTTACTTTATGCAGACATTATATTTCTTATCATGGTATTTTGAATGTTGGAGGCTTTTACTTGTTTAAATTAGGACCTGGCACAATGACTGTTCTGTTTAGAGATATATTAGTAGTGGTATGATCATAAGCTGCGTTGAGTTCGTTCATGAAAAGTATGGAGTGCGAACGTCTTTTCTCCAGAGTATATTGATGGGCAAGGATCGCAGTTGGGCTAAGCAATGTAATGGCACGATATTTGACTTCATGTAGATAGTATGAACAATTGTCGTCAAAATATGCATCCCGGCCAGCCTCGTATATGACCATCGTCTTAACCGTTGCTAGTGAATAAAAGAATTAAAATAGATTAAATAACAGAATGTATCTCGAATATGTATATTTCACACAATCTTTGATATGGGCGGATAATCGAGGAAACGAAGCGAAAAGAATAGAGAGAAGCGAAGCAAAATGACATGCAGTGGAGGAGGCAAGTGAGCCAACTCGATTTAAATAGGCGTGAATAAATACTTAGAATCAAAATGAAATAATCTACAAGTATTTGATGAATAGGGTAAGTAATTAACACACATGAGACCACATAAAAACAGTGAAATTTAATGAGCGTATAAGCAACAGGGTCAAAATGTTGCTCGAAAAGAATGAATAAATTTGTTTGTCCAGAAAATAGAATAGTTTATGTGTTCTGGGCACGGTACCAGCCACCAAAACGCCTCTCTGTAAAAGATAGTACATTATACGGAAAAATGTCTGTTTTCGAAAATATCACTGAAGATGTAGGTGGTTAACTTTGACAATAAGTAGTGAAAAAATTTGCACTTCACTTGATAGAGTACATGTCTCGTGAGTGGTGAGTATTATACGAAAGTGCCATAGTTAAGTAGACATAACAAATGAATATTGTAGAGACGCGAACAATAATGAAATGTCAGCATGCGATTATGAGCAAAATACCAAGTGTATAAAAATTAACATGCATTTATGTCGTGGCTGTCTGGATGATAAAGTAACATGATCGCACGATAAACTTCAAATGCCATGAAAAATAAGTAATAAACCGTTTGTCGCTTGTGGATATGACAGCGGGATAAATAAAGAAAATAAGGTAGAATATGATAGAAATTAATATGTGGTGTCGACAGAATGTAAAAATAAAGAATGGAGGAATGTGAACATGTTCTAATGATCAGCAGTGGAGTTAGTTATGATGACTATCAACTAATAAATTCGGATATGAGGTTTATGTTAGATAAAAACAAACCAGCCATAAAATGACAATTGCATCAATGTGTGATAATCTTTGTTGTACTCCAATAAGTGATAACCACAAAACGCGGAGTCATTGTGCATTGTCGTTCCCATCATAACGGGATGCATCAAGTTATCGTTAAGCACGTGCTAGTAGAATGATCAGAGGAACAGAATAGTGACTGTGGAGGCGAACTACGCGGAGTCGGGTTTCTTATTGGTCGTGAAGCCTAGCGTGTTTTATGGCGTTTGAAGGGTACGTATTCGACTCCGTTTGTTATGAAGCCGTACTAAGGTATCATAAAAATACCAAAATATAAGGTTGTTCATGACAGGCATTTAGAACTGACTTGAATATGACA